AATCCTTTTCTTTTAATAAGTGAGTTTATTCCATTTACATTAATTGCCTTAGTTCTGTCATCTTCAGGCTTTGTGGTCTGTGTTTTTCTTTTCTGTATACACATTTTCTGATTGAATTGGAATAGTCTAGCTTTGGTTTTTCAAGTGTTAAATTAGTATTCCTAAACCCTCAATTTGACTTATAGCTTTAAAGGGTATCTACTGAGGTTTTGCCAATGAAATTTACACATACTTTCTTCCTCCTCTCTACCTCCCATTTTCATTTAAATTGTTATTTCTAGGATGTTATACATATATTTCCTCTTCCTCTCTACATCCTAGTTTTACATTTCTTTTTTCCAGATCTCTATTCTTTCTACATTTGAATGGATTGAATGCTATTTATTTCTTTTCCCCAATGGTTGCTACATTTCCAGACTCTTTATTTTGGTTTGTTTCTTGGTTTTATGATTGTCTTTTTTATAGAAGAGCTCATGGGTGCTATATTCCCTTCAGTTCTTACATGTTGAAAATACCCACTTGTGTTTTCATGCTTGAATGTCATCTGGGGTTAGTATAAAATTTGAGATTTTAGAAATTTTTTCTCTGAAAAAGTTGTATGTGTTGTTTTATGATCTTCTAATATTCATTTTTACCATGGAGGTACCTGAGGCGAGGGTGATTTTACTTTTCCCTTGTCTGAGGACTTGAATTTTTTAAGTGGAAAAGAAACCCAATTAAAGTTTCTTTCTTAAAATTAAAATCAAGTTAGTTAACATATAGTGTAGTCTTGGCTTGAGGAGTAGAACCCAGGGATTCATCTCTTACATATGACACTCAGTGCTCATCCCAAAAAGTACCCTCCTTAATGCCCATTACCCATTTAACCCATCCCCTCACCTACCTCTCCTCCAGCAACCCTCAGTTTGTTCTCTGTATAGAAGAGTCTCTTATGGTTTGCCTCCCTCTGTTTTTCTTATTTTTCCTTCCCTTCCCCTGTGTTTATCTGCTGAGTTCCTCAAATTCCACATGAGTGAAATTGTATGGTATCTTTCTCTGACTGACTGATTTCACTCAGCATAATACTCTCTAGTTCCATCCACATAGTTGTAAATGGCAAGATTTCATTTTCATTGCCGAGTAGTATTCCACTGTATGTATATGTGTGTGTGTGTGTGTGTGTGTGTGTGTGTTTATATGTATATACACACACACACCCCACATCTTCTTTATCCTTTTTCCAGTGGATGGATATTTGGGCTCTTTCCATACTTTGGCTGTTGTTGATAGTGCTGCTATAAACATTGGGGTGCACAGTGCCCTTCAAATCAGCATTTTTGTATCCTTTGGATAAATGCCTGGTAGTGCAATTGCTGGGTTGTAGGGTAGTTCTATTTTTAATTTTTTGAGGAATATCCAGATTGTTTTCCAGAGTGGCTGCAACAGTTTGCACTCCCACCAACAGTGCAAAAGGGTCCCCCTTTCTCGACATCCTCACCAACATCTGTTGTTCCCCATGTTGATTGTAGCCATTCTGACAGGTGTGTGGTGGTATCTCATTGCGGTTTTGATTTTTATTTTCCTGATGATTTTTCATGTGTCTGTTAGCCATCTGGATGTCTTCTGCCCATTTCTTCACTGGATTATTTGTTTTATGGATGTTGAGTTTGGTGAATTCTTTATGGATTTTGGATGCTAACCCTTTATCCAATATTTATCTTTGAACTCTGGCAAATTCATGACATATATTGGGAATCAATCATTATCAGTATTTCCTGGATATGGTATGACTTCTGACCTTTTGGATTTCAGGACCTTTATTTAAAAAAAAAAAAGTTTTTCTATTATCTTTGAATTTTTTGTGTTCCATTTGCTTTGTTGTCTAATACATACTAAGATCCCTGTTGTTTTCCTTATGTATACCTAATTTTCTTTCTTACACTTTACTATTCCTTCTTGATCTTTTTTAAATGTTTGCTTATTTTGAGAGAGAGAGAGAGAGTGCCCACATGCATGTATGAATGGGGGAAGGGCAGAGAGAAAAGGAGAGAGAGAATCTTAAGAAGGCTCAGCATTGTAAGTGCAGAGCCTGACATGGGGCTCGATCTCATGAACTGTGAAATCATGACCTGAGCCAAAATCAAGACTTGGATGCTTTGCCAACAGAGCCACCTAGGCTCCCCCTTACTTGATCTTTTAAAGCCTTCCTCCACATTTTAATTTTTTCTTTATAATAGTCAAGAAATATATGTCCACAAAATGACTTGTAATGTTTACATGGAATTATACTATGTATATGCAGGATAATTTTATTAATCTTCCTATCAGACCTTCAATTTTTCACTATTATAAACAACCACAGATGCTCTTAACAGTAGTGATGCTGCTTCATAAGTAACCTTACTCTAATTCCTACTAAGGAAGCTCAGTGCCAAAAAAATTTTAGATTATGCTTATGAATACACTTGCCTATCTTCCCTTCTTATTCAGTCAGGCTTAAAATAATGATGAATGATTTTTCTGGGTTTCTGGGTCCATGACATAAAAATAAGACCCCAGTTTTGTGAATAAGCATATTAAGGATATCTCAAGATTAAAGAAAGTAGTTTGGTGATGGCTTCTTCAGTACTCTCAAAAAAGATATTGAAGACTTAATGGTAAGGGTGTGAAATGTAGAATCTCTGTTGGCATTTGTACTGAGCTGGATATTTGATGTTTATCCTTCTATATCTACTCTCCCCTTAGCTAGGTGGATAAGGAGGCTGATCCAAACAGACTACATCAGTTCTCTTATCTTCTTGTTTCTGGTTGGAAACCAATGAGAAGTGCCAGCAGGATACTAAGGGATATGAGCAAAGTGAAATTGGGTATTTATTCTAGCAGCTCTCACCTAGATTGCCATAGTTTGACTAAATTCCATTACTGAAGGTCACAACTCCTGTCAGCTCTCTCCATATACTTACTCTATTTGGGTTCTGATGATGGTTTTATCTCCTTGTCCTTTTAGACCTAAGGATGGAAGTGGCTCCCCACTGTTGCTAGTTCTGGGTGTCTGCATTATTTGTTGGTTTCTCTGAAACCCTCCTCTGTTTGCTATACTTATAGAAATTTGTCTTACATATGTATAAAATTACATGTATGTAAGATTATTCATTAGAACATTTTATTTGTCATAGTGGCATAACTGTACAGTAGAATATTGTGCAGCTATAGAAAAACTTAGAACATTCATCAGATACATGCATGAAATAATCTCCCATTTGTTGGGCTTTTAAAAATTTTTTCATGTACTCAAGGCCCCCAAAATATTTGTGAAGCCTTATTTATACCTCAGTAATTGTAAAATACAAGTGTTTTTGGTTCACCATGTTGTCTTCCCAATCTTTGTTATTGTTTTTGTCTTTATTTAGGTTTGATACACAAAAATTATATGCATTTAACAATTACACCTTGATCAGTGTGGATATATGCATACATCTGTGATACCACAATCACGGTACTCCAAAAATCTGTTCACCTCCAAAAATTTCATGGTATTTTTTTGTGTGTGTTTTGTAGGAAGACATGAGATTTGTTCTCTTAACATTTAAAAATTTTTTTTTTTTCAACGTTTATTTATTTTTGGGACAGAGAGAGACAGAGCATGAACGGGGGAGGGGCAGAGAGAGAGAGGGAGACACAGAATCGGAAACAGGCTCCAGGCTCTGAGCCATCAGCCCAGAGCCCGACGCGGGGCTCGAACTCACGGACCGCGAGATCGTGACCCGGCTGAAGTCGGACGCTTAACCGACTGCGCCACCCAGGCGCCCCATCTCTTAACATTTTAAAATGCAGAATACCCACATTTTTAACTATGGGCACTAAGTTGTATAGCAGATCTCTAGAACTTACTCATCTTCTATAACAGAAACTTTACATAAGTGTGGAAAAAGCAAAGTACCAAACAATGAATATAATATCCTACCATATGTGTACAGAAAAAAGAAATAAAAGAATGTATATGTGCTTTTTTATATATACACACGTATATGAATATATGTATGTGTATATATATCTATAGGAAATAAAGTGGAGGGTGTCTTTGGAAGGACATGTAATAAGAAAATGTGGGAGAACCTAGGTGGCTCAGTCGGTTTGAGTGTCTGACTTCGGCTCAGATCATGGTCTCATGGTTCGTGAATTTGAGCCCCATATCGGGCTTGGTGCTGTCAGTGCAGAGCCTGCTTCTGATCCTCTGTCCCCCTCTCTGCTCCTCCCCTGCTTGCACCCTCCCCCAAATAAATAGATATTAAAAAAAAAAAAAAGGTCACAGTGATTGCTTCTAGGGAGGAAAACTGGGCAGTAGGAAACTATCCTTGTTTCTTTGAATATTAAAATATATGAATATATTACCTGTTCAAAACATATTACATTAATAAGCATTAAGAGCCTTAGAGGAACTACAAAAGAAATCATTAGAAGATGGTGGAAAGAGCCAACAAATTATAAAGTTGCTGAAATGATCTAAGCAATGAAAGTCTTGAATAGTTTCTTACCATGATCCCTTTATGGAATTATATATATCCTATTACAAATTTGTTGTAGAAGTAAATTCTTGTTCAGTGTTGAATACAAAAAAACATGTATGGTAAAGATTTGTTTTAAACATGGTCACCTTGATTATTTAAAAGAGCTTCAGTTCTTTTAGTCTCATCCTGTATTTACAGCATTTTAGTAAATGCTAAATGTTTTTACAGCATGTGGTATCACTAACAAAGTAGAATGACTGCACGATGATCTTAGCTTCCAGTGAAAAGTACAACTCCATTAAAGGAAATGGGACATGAGAAGAGTTTTAGGAAATTAGTGAAGAAGGGAAGATTGCTGGAAAAATATTCTTTCAACTAAAGTTGGTTATAATCACTCAGGATATCCAAAAATAAGAAAGGATTACTAGTTTGATTTTTTAAAGATGGTTTTACCATTCCTGATATGATTACCCCTGTTAAAAAAGTTCTATAAGACCCAGGGACCTCACTCACCCTTCCTGGAACTGTGCTTGGGCAGATTCCTCTGCAACAAGAGTCTCATACTCCTCAGCTGCAAACCTGTCCCAGTCAGAGGGCTCAGGCCCCTCATTCTCAACATCCTGATTGCAAAGAGGAAAGGAAACAAAAATAATCAAAGACAAAGAATTGGAGATTGGTTTTCTTCAGTGAACATTTGTGATGACCTGCCTGAAAATATTTCATTTTAACATGTTAAGAGAGGTGCTGAAGTAACACTCTTAAAGTGATTTGTATGCCTCCAATCATAAAATTATAGTGAACTCCTCAGCAGTGAATTCTTTAGGTCTAGATTCTTTAGCCTTATAATCAGAGACCTTTGTCTGGGCTCTTCTCCCTGGCACTTTGCACACCAGCTATCTGGAGTGATTGTGGTTTACATATGCCCACCTGAAACAGACCACCGCTTCCTCCCCTCCCTGGCATATTTTTATTGCTTCTGTAAAAGCCAGCTCAGATACCATGTCATCTGTGCTATTTTCCTAGAAAGAGCCCTTCTCCCCCAAATAATTTCCTTTGCTATACTGTACATGCTCGATTGCTACTTTTTGCTCTTCTTTTTATCTCTATATGACCATATGTCTCTTCAACACAGTCACTGGAATTTACTGAGCACTTTTTGACTAAAAATGTTCTCTGCAGATCAGAATAAATCTTGATATACTGCCATCTCTTACAAATTTTATAAAGGGGGAAAAGGCTATATACATTTTCTTTTCCTTCTCCAATCTGGGCAGTATCTTGGATTATATATTCCAGGTAAAATGCTTCTCCATGATTAAAATGAGTTATTAGCATTGCCCTCAGATGTAAGGTTAGTCATGCCCAGAAGAATGTAAATACCTAAATACTGACCATACAATATGATTATGATACTTAACTCATTTTAAGAACCCCTACTCCATCCTTTTGACATCTTTGAAACTTACATCTTAGGTTTATAATTGGCAATTTTTTTTAATGTTTGTTTATTTTTGAGAGATAGCACGAGTGGGGGAGGGGCAGGGAGAGAGGGGGACACAGAATTCGAAGCAGGTTCCAGGCTCTGAGCTGTCAGCACAGAGCCTGACGTGGGGCTCAAACTCACGAACCACAAGATACGACCTGAGCTAAAGGTGGACACTTAACCAACTGAGCCACCCAGGTGCCGGGAAAAAAATTTTTTTTTAAAGCTAGTGATAATGTGCCTTGATATGCCCCAAGATCAGGCGTAGAATATTTGTTTTTAGAAGGTGATCTTTGGGGGTGTCTGGGTGGCTCAGTTGAGTGTCCAATTCTTGATTTCAGCTCAGATCATGATCCCAGGGTCATGGGATTGACCTTTGCATTGGCTCCGCACTGAGTGTGGAGCCTGCTTGAAATTCTGTCTCCCTCTGCCCCCCTCCCCTGCTTGCACTCTCTAAAATTAAAAAAATAAATAAAAATAAAAAATAACGTATGTGGTGCCTGGGTGGCTCAGTTGGTTAAATGTCTAAATGTTGGTGTTGGCTCAGGTCATGATCACACAGTTTTGTGGGTTCAAGCCCTGCATCAGCTCTGCACTGACAGCGTGGGGCCTGCTTGGGATTCTCTGTCTTACTCTCTGCCCCTACCCCACTTGTGACTGTCTCTGTCTCTCTCAAAAACAAATAAATAAACTTAAAAAATAATAAGGTGATCTTTGTATTCTTACTACTATTTAGGTCAACATGTAGAAGAAAAAGAAAGTTTCTGGTAGTTTCTGGTATTCCTGTAGGACTCAACTCAAACAGTCCTTTTCTACTAACAGAATTAAAAAAAAATTTTTTTTAAACTTTTGAGGGAAAGAGAACACAAGCAAGGAAGGGGGCAGGGGTGGGGGAGAGAGAATCCCAAGTGGGCTCTGCACTGTCAGTGCAAATGTGGGGCTCCACACAGGGCTTGAACTCAAGGACCATGAGATCATGACCTGGGTCAAAACCAAGAGCTGGATGCTTAACCAACTCGACTGAGCCATTAGGCACCCCCACATAATTTTTACTTTTTAAACAAGAGAAGGGGAAGTGGTGATATTATTATTATTATTATTATTATTATTATTTTGACATAGACCATATGTTCAGGGCTTTTTGAGGGTCCACAGGTTTTTGTGTACGCGTAAGGGTGCTCATCTCTATTCAGGTGTAGAATGACTTCAAACTGATAGTCATGCACAATAGTCATTAACACTTGAAAAAGTGTTTTGTTATCGGAGGGCTGTCTATTATGGAGAACGTCTAGTTTTCATTAGGGAGAGCTATTTACAATGTAATCCTGGAAATGAATGTGGTACAGTTAACCCCAATATACTTTCTAATACAGATGGTTCTATTGATACATTTTTTTAAACAGGACAAATTTTTTTCAAAACTTTTTTGTAACTAGTGTCTAATATATAAGGATACAGACCACAAAATTCACTCAGTGATAGGCAGATGCAGGTTACCTAAACTTGAAGATTAGCTATGGAGAGACATGTGCTCTAGGTTCTTTTTTCTCTCTTTTCAGTAGGAGAGAAAATGTTTTAAATGTTACCCCTTTAAATACAAGATTCTCACAGGGAAAGACAGTTTTTATCTGTAGCACACAACCCCTGATACTGCAGCCTTCAAAGGGAAGTTAAAACCAGTACCTTCTGGACCGCAAAAGGATCTCTCTGTTCATGGTCCAAGTATTTCTCCAGATTAAAGAAAGTATCATAAAAAATGTGTGCCATTCTGCATCTCTTCAGATCTCGTAGTGTTATTTTGCCTATGTAAAAACAAATCCAGTAAATTTCAAGAACTTTTTGGCAAGTGAAAAAAACTTTTACTGAAGTTTAAGAGTATATGAATATGCCAATTTTATTATATAAAATCCCATTTTTTTAGGTAAAATGGACATAAAATTTACCATTTTAAAGTGTGCAATTCAGCAGCTTTTAGTACATTCACAGTGTGTACAACCATTACCACTACCGAGTTCCATAACATTTCCTCACTCCAAAAGGAAACTCTGTACTCATCAAGCAGACCTTCCCCATCTCCTCACCCAGCCTAGGGCGATCACTAATCTGCCTTCTGTTTCTATGGGGAAATTTCTTAAACTTGATTTGCCATTAGTTGTTGGTTCTAAACTAATGGTAAAGGAGAAACTTAAATATTTCTGTATTTGGGAAGCCAGTATGGAAGACTCTGGAAGTTCAGTAATTTGGGACAATCCAGGATTAAAGGCCCCCCTCTGTTACATAGGTGAGTAGTGCAGATGGTCTTTTACTCAATCTTACCATCACTGGCTGGCTTCACCAGGTCAAGCATCTGGCACAGCAAATCATGGAATGGCAAGGGCTCAATGCCCATGGCTTCCATCCGTTCACATTGCTCCTCATAGAAGTACTCCAGCTCATACATGGAGAGTACACCATCTCCATCCATATCCATGCAGCGGAACCAATACTCAATGCTAGAAGATAAGGACACTCGTTAGCAATGGTCTGGTAAGGTCCTTCATTCACCCAGATTTATTACTGCCCATGTTTCTTTTAAAATAAGTTAGTATGTGTATATTTTCTTTTAAAATAAGTTAATATGTGTATACTTGAGACTTAGAGGAACACAGTTTTATAAAATTTGTTAGAAAAACTGGCCAGACCCCTTCTTCCCTTTATTTCCCTTCCCCAGAATCAACCACTTTCAATACCTGATTATTTTGGTTTTTATATTTTCAGATAAGATGCCTATATTGCTCCTTCCTTACATTTCTGTTTTAAGAACTGTGTATTAATTTCATACAATGAAAAATGAGGTTTTAGCTCTTCTACCTCTCTTTCTACTTTACCTGCATGCCCTTCTGAACCTCGTAATATAAATTACTCAACTTCTTTTATCTCTTATTTGCTTAGATTTCTGTGTACATGTTACTATTCAGTGCCCACATATGCCAGTTTTCTACATCCATAATCATTCTCATCAGGGTTCTATGAACTGGATTTTCTTGATGAAGTCTTTCTTGCTTCCTTCTGACCTACTTTAACTGCACTGGTTGCTCTCTAGACTGGATTCATGGTTTCATCCCAGGGATTCCTTTCACCTTTCTCTTATTTCTTGTATCTCACACTTTCCTCATTCTTGGTTGACTTCCTTGTTTAGTGTAACATATTCTTCGGCAGCTTCCTAAAAAAAGGGAGTGAGGCACATACATTTTCTGAGATCTTAGATAGTTGAAAATACTGTTTATCTACCTCCTAACTTGGTTGATATTTTGGTTACAGAATTATACCTTGGTGGTGCTTTTCCTTCAGAAGTTTAAAGGCAATGATTCACTACACTATCTTCTATCTATCCACTATTGTTGAGAAGTCTAAAGCTGTGCTGATGTCTGATCCTTTGACTATAATAACTTTTTTTTTTTCCTTTGAAGCCTATAGAGGTTTCTCTGGGTCCTTGGTATTTTGAAATCTCATGATGAAGTATCCTGGTCTGGGTCTAATTCATCTACTTTCTTGGGCTTTCTGAGAGCTTACACAATTTGGAAGCTAGTATTCTTTAGTTCTCGGAAATTTTCTTAAAGTATTTTATTTCTTCCCTGCCTCTTTTCACCCTTATCCATTCTTTTTTTCTGGAACTCTTGTTATTCACATCTGCATGGTCAAATATGGTAGCCACTTATCCACATGTTCCTAGTCCAATTTGAGATATCTTTAAGTGTAAATACACAACAGATTTTGAAGACTTAATATGAAAAAAAAGTAAAACATCAATATTCTTATATTAATGAGATGTTGCAATAACATTTTAGATACAGTGGATTAAATAAGATATTTAATTACAATTAATTTTATGTTTTTCTACATCTTCACTGTGGCTAAATTTCCTTTATAGTTTTTTAAAACATTTTTAGTAAAAACTGTATTTAAGGGGTACAATGAGATAATATATACATTGTGAAATAATTACTACAGTAAAATTATTTCACATATCATCTCCTCACTTAGTTATATTGGGGGGGAGGGGGATGAGAAGACCTGAAATCTACTCTTAGCAAATTTCTAATATTTAATACAGTATTATTAACCATACTCACCATGTTGTATGTTTCATTCTAACTGCAACTTTGTACCCTTTGACTAGTACTTCCCCATTTCCTTCTTCCCTCAACTCCTGCTAACTAAAATTCTACTCTATGACTCTTTGTGTTTGACAGTTTTTAGATTTCACATGTAAGTGAGATCATGTGGTATTTGTGTCTCTGTGCATGCCTTATTTCACTTAGCATGGTGTACTCTGAGATCATCCATGTTGTCGCAAATGACAGAATTTCCTTCTTTTTAAAGGGTGAATAATATTCCAGTGTGTGTGTGTGTGTGTGTGTGTGTGTGTGTGTGTGTGTGTGTATCCCACACTTTCTTTATCCACTTATCCACTGAGGGACATTTAGGGTGATTTCATATCTTGGCTACTGTGAATAATGCTGCAATGAACATAGGAGTGCAGGTACTTCTTCATGATATTTATTTCAGAGTTCTGATTCAAGATGGTAATGTAAGAAGATCCTGAACTTTCTCCCACAGACACACCAAATCTACAGCTGTATATGGAACAAGTTCTTCTGAAAAGACTCCTTAGAACTGAGTAACTCCTACACACTGTGCAGACAAGAAAACCCCACATCTAAGTGGGTAGGACAGGCTGACACACAATCTCACTATAATCCCCACCTCTGTCATGGTGACCTACAATCAAGAGGAAACTTAAAACCTGGAACTTCTTCCGAGGAGTGAAGGGTTTGAATCTCATACTGGGCACCGTAACTCTTAAGACCTGAAACTAAAAGATGACTCCCTAAAACATCTAGCTTTGGAAATTATAGAGCTTGTGTCCATGAGACCCAAAAGGGTACAGTTAAGTGAGAAATGGCTCGTAAGGGGCTTATGTGCTTGGACTCACCCATGCTAGCGACCAGTGCAGAAGCAGCCAATAGACACCCAGACTTTCTGTGAAAGACACTCATTTCCTTATCTTAAAGCCTTGGCCTAAGGGCAGGCATCTAACTTAAAACACACATCTAGGGGCCTCCTGGGGTACTCTCTGGGGACAGAGGCTAGAGCATACCATGTTCACTCTTCTCCTCTGCTGCACTACACAGTGCCACTATCTCCTGGAGGGGAGCTTTTACATGCATCTGGTGCCCTGCCTGGTATTTGCAGCTGCCACCCAGGGATGCTCACCGATAGCCTGGCTCTGGTGGCCAGGGGGGCTTGTGTTCCTGGGCCCCATGAGACTGTAACAATAGGAGACCTAGTTCTTAGCAGGCTACTATATCCGGGGTACTTCACAGACAAGAGGTTGAAACATACTTCCTGGCTTTCTGTGAAAGAGGGCTATTTGCTTGTGTTGGAGTTTCAGCCCAAAATGTAGGTTTCAGGTTTAGCACACATCTAGGAGCTTATGGAGTTGCTTTCAGGGTATGGAGGCAAGTGGATGCCATCTTTGTGTTCTCCCTTTGTCTCATTCCAGCTGCTGGTATCTTTTAGAAAGGAGCTTATGCACTTGTATGGTACCCCAATTTTGGAGACTGATGCCCAGGGGATACTTAAGATTGCCTAGCTCTGGTGGCCAGTGAGGCTTATGTTTGTGGTCCCACAGGACTGTATATATGTGCATACTTTTAAAAGATGACAACCAGCCTCCATCTAGGTGCTGAAATCTTCCCCTCTGGGATAATGACAGGTCTTGGCACAACCTCGACTATTAGGAGCCATTAAAAATAAAAGAGGATGCTTGGACAATTAAAAGGTTTAAGATACAAGGGCTAGGACAGGGTTGAACAATAAAGTTTACCTACTACACAAGGCTACTATTCAAGACTTGGAGAGGTGGTTATTTTATCTAATGCACAGAAATCAACACAGTCAAGCAGAATGATGAAACAAAAAAATATGTTCTGAATTAAAAAATGAGAAAACGTCAGAAAAAATTCCTTAATAAAACTAAGTTAAGTGATCTACCTGATAAAGAGTTCAAAATAATGGTCACAAAGATGCTCACTGAACTTGGGAGATGAATGGATGAAGACAGAACTCAGAGATGAAAAATATAAGAATGTACTTAACAGAAGTCATAGAGCTGAAGAATATAATAACTGAACTGAAAAATACATCAGAAGAGTTTGAAACCAGACTAGATAAAGCAGAAGAAAGGATCAGTAAACTTGAATACAGGGCAGTGGAACTCAATCAGAGCAGCAAAAAGAAAAAAGAATGAAAAATGTGAAAAAAATAGAAGATTAGGGAATACTTCCAAACTCCTTTTACAAGGCCAGCAGTACCTTGATAACAGAACAAGGACACTATGAGAAAATTACAGGCCAATATTACTGATGAATACAGATTCAAAAATCCTCAACAAAATACAGTAAAACCTTGGATTGCGAGTACCTTGTTCTGTGAGTGTTCTGTAAGACAAGCAAAATTTCTAATAAATTTTAACTTGATAAACGAGCAATGTCTTGAAATATGAGTAGTACGTGATGCCGAATGTCACATGATCACAACTGAGCCAATGGTTCTTTCCTCCCTCCCTCTCTCTCTCCTTTCCTCCCTCCCTCCCTCTCTTGGTGGGATTGTATCCTGTTTTTGGATGCTCGGTCTCAGGTTGTGGTGTTTGGCAGGAATCAGTGATTTTTCAGAATGTTGGAAGGTGCCCACAATTGGTACTAGTGTATTTTTTTGTCACTACAAAGCACCTATGGACAGTCCTTTGCTTTTCCATGCAAGACTAAGCTTAGGAATGCTTTACTTCATTCCAGGTCAGGCTGCCTACAGATATAGACCCTTTCCTTTGCTGCCTTATTGCCAGTTACATTAAATATAGTATATGACAAGAATTTATTAATACTGTACTCTAGTCAGCATCCATGTGAGCATATACAATGGCTCCCATGCAGAAAAAGTTTCCACTGAGCCAAGACAGCAGTGATTCTGTTAGCGATAGTGAAATTCATCCTATACAATAAGCCTCCTTTCTCTTGTCTTCCTCACACCAGCCATGAAGGTTTTCAAAGGTAAGTGCCAGTTAACTCTTTTTTCTTTACATTTATTATTTTGTATCAGATTATAGTATTGTAATCATTTTTATATGAGTATCTTTGGGTTGTGGAATAAATAATCTGAATTTCAATTATTTCTGTTTTCAATTTTTTTATTAAAATTAAAATTTTTTTTTTTAATTTTGAGAGAGAAACAGCACAAAGCAGGGGTGGCAGAGAGAGAGAGAGAGAGACAGAATCAGAAGCAGGCCCCAGGCTGAGCTGTCAGCACAGAGCCCAACATGGGGCTCGAACCCACAAGCTGTGAGATCATGACCTGAGCTGAAGTTGGATGCCTAACTGACTGGGCCACCCAGGCGCCCCAAGTTTCCATTATTTCTTATGGGGAAATTTGCTTTGATCTATAAGTGCCTTGG